AGCTGGAAATATTGTGTGCTATTTAAAGGAACTCAAACATATCTAGCTAACCCAGACATGCAGTATCTACCTAAACTCAACTTAAAATTGTTGGCAGCTTGAATGTGGAAATTAAAGGTGCTATGTAGCAAATCAAGAATGGGTATATCAAGAATATCAAGCTTTGTCTTTTTAATCTATGCAGCTTTAAATGCAGTAGATGAGGGTAAATCTTATGTATATGAAAATATAACAGATACTTAGTACTTGTTTATGTAAGGAATTGAAGATGAAAGTATATGTAGATTTGCTCCTAGATGATATGGCTATATCATTTTTCTTTGTTGCGGAACTCTAAAGAACTGGTGGGCTGTTGTGACTGATCTCATAGCAACTTGTGTATAATAAATTACATGTATTAAAGTAATTCTGTAGAATTCGTAGTTAAGAAAATATGTATACCTTCAAGTGTGTGATTGTGCCAACTGTTCATAAGGACTTGATATTTGCAGTTTGTAATAAAACTTACATGTATCAAACCCTTTTCTGACTTACTCTTGCATTGTTCGAACAAACAAGAACTAATGATTAAATAATTTTGTGTTTCTTCTAGAGTAGCCCCAACAGAGCCTTTATTTACTTCTCAATTCCGCACTTTTAGTTTACCCTCATTGGTAGAAAACAAGACTTTTTTTTCTACACAATGCTGGAAATATAATGCCAGAAGAGCATTTGATTCGAAAGAACTCAGACCTCCATGAGATATTCAGATCTTGTACTATGATACCAAAAACAATACCTCTATTTTTCATGGAGGTAGACACTAATAAAACCGCGTGTAGCTAAGTGACTATCCCTGACGATCCAACCTATATTGCACCTTTCAGTAATGTACACACCTCAAGGCATTTTGAAAGGAAAATTGAAGCTAATGATAGATATAGAAAGACATTTGTTCAACATCTTCATGTTTCACAAAATAAAATTGAAATTTGGACGTGGTAGCCATTCAGAACTTGACAATTTACAAACCATGTACACTTGACCACTTCCATTGGTGAAATGAGAGGGGAATATATGACATTCATAACCTGGCCCCTATGGTTTTGTTTGTGAAATGTCTGAAATATAGTTATTCTTACTTTTAAATGGTCACATTTTTTAAAACAACGTCATAAAATATTTTTAAAAATTCAAACCCCTTTGCGAGCCTATCGCCATTTCACCATTCCCGAAAAGACCCAAATTTGGCAATTTGACGGTCTCCTTAGCCACTTTTCAGATCGCGGCCGATAGCGGTACTGCAGATAAGGCTCTGCAGTACCGCTTTATAAGGGTATAAAGTGACGAATAGACTTAAAGCAACTGAAAAGTTTTGAAACAGGTCCAGACATCTTTACATACATCAAGAATGACGTTTAAGAGACTAGAAGAAATAAAAAGGCTCGATTTTTGGGCGCCGCGCGAGGAGTCCATGTAACAACATACCCGTCCGTCGAAGCGCCACCTACATTCATACATACATCATGTCTTTGTACGTAAGTAGTACATTAAGGATATTTTTGGACATTGTCTGTTTTCCCTCCGCATCTTTGGCCTTCTACACAACTATTCATCCGTTTGTATGGGTGTAAGGGGCTGTCAGAGAAGCCATGTCCTCTCTCGGAAGACATTGGGACCTTTCACCCTAACATCTACTTGGAGATAATAGACTTACTTAGACTTAGGGGCTCCCGCGTCTCGTGACGCATGAGGCAGTCAAAGTAGCCCAGCTTCCTCTGTCAGCAGCCAGCCTCAAGGCTTCCTTCCAGCTCATGAAGGTCCCTCTCTACTATCTGTCGCTAGTTCATCTTTGCACGTCCCCTCCTTCCCCGTCCTTCTGGGCACCACTGTAGGCTAGGCAGAACTGGTTGGCAAATCTGACAGGTGGGAGTCTGACTGCATGTCCTAACCAGCTGAGCCGGCGTTTACATATGATGGAGGACACTGGTTGTTGATTGGCTTGGAGTCTGATGTTCTTATTTGAGATAAAGCCATCCCATCTATATAATGCCCAGGATTTTTCTTAAGCACTTGCTGTCGAAGGCATTAAGTCTCCTTTCTTGACTTAACTTCAGGTGCATACCTTGAAGATTAGGTAGGTTGTCTTTTTAGAAGACGCTGTTGCAAACTAGCTTCTACTCTTTTTTTGCTTTTAGGAAGTAACTTCATTATGCTGTCCAGTTTTGTCGAAGTTGGTGTCACAAAATGGCGTAACTTCCTTTTCAAAAAAAAAAAAAAAACTGGTGGAAATTGATGTGCGACTGCAACCGAAATCCTGGTACATTACTGACCATCGAAATGGACATTATACTGACACAAAGATGTTCAGCCTTCATGATTGTCTGTAATGCTGGTAATAGATCGAAATAATCGCATTTTGCGCACTTTGAAATGCAATACACAGCTGATTCATGCACTTAGAGGCCGTTTCTAATAGCATAATGAAAAGATTGGTCCAACTGGTATCCAGTCATAGGCGGAAATTTCGAACTTCTGACCGAAGCAACCGAACCAGCTTCCTGGCATTAGTCATGCCCCGATATAGCCTCGTAGCAGGCTACTCTTGCTGTGCTTTTTTTCTTGCTTATTCTGTGTAATATTCTGCTTGTATTACAGTTATGATTGCACCCGTATACTGGGTAACAGGTAGACTGGTAGAAACCGATTGTAAACACAATTGTTCGATATTACAATCAGAAAACAGAACATAATATCCCTCACCCCAAGACGCCTGCTTCGGAGGCTATCGCGAAACCTGTTACAGAGGATTCAATATACATTCAAGCTGTTGGTGATCATATGAAGTACTGATCACAGAATACATTTGTCTCCGATCATGACATGAATCATAGTGACATAAAGCAGGAGACTCGTCCATTTCGTCCATTTATAATACGTTTTCCTTTTCATCATATATTATATCGGAATGCAGTAACGTTATAGGCCCTGGTAAAGTAAAACATAGTGCCAAACTCAGTGGGGCACGCGGTTCTTACAGTCTGATATAAACGCCCAATGCCGTTTACACTCTTAATCTAATATAAAAGTCATGTATTGGCTTAAGTTAACGTGATTTCTACGCTAATGATGTAGATATATATATACAGTAAGCGAGAATACTGTTACTCGGCAGGATGCGAGCGCTCCTGGCCAATATTCTACTGCAGTTCGTATGTGCTATTTTACCAGGTAGGTAGAGTTCAATGATATATGTTCTTCAGTGACCATTACATACTATGTACACTTTTTTCAGTGTATGAATTTTCCAGTACATGTATATCCACCGTGGTTGACACTCCATTGCATTTCTGAGAGGATATTTTTCGACATTTCGCCCATTTCCTGGCAGAATATTATCTGTGTATCTATACAGGCGTAATGAAGTTTTATAGAATAATCCCTTTTAGTCAGTGTGGTGTTTTTCCCCGTCAGCTCTATGCCAGGACACGAGGATGTCTCTCCAGGACGCGCTCCTGAGGAACTACAGCAGCCACGGGAGTGGGGCGCTGCCGGTAGCCGACCCCTCCACCGCTATCAACCTGCTCTTCGGCGTGGCGATTCACCAGATCATTGAACTGGTAATGTCGGACTCACTACGGGGGACAGTTCTGTAGTTTGTAGTTGGCACTGGTCGTGCATGACACATATAATAATGATAGCGGGCCGGCGTCGCAAACTGGGGACTCTCAGATTGGGATACTAGTATAGTAGTCGTAAATGTGTTCTGCAAAAATTCAAGTGTCTTGTGACGGAACAAGGCTGCTAGAGATGTTTGTCAGTGACATGTTTTACTACAGCCTACCTGAACATTGATTCTACAGCATTAAAATCCTTCGACTACACACAACGAATTTGACCTACCAGACAGGTGGGCGTGCCAAAGTATCTAAAACATTGTATTATATATTATACCATTTCCACGCAGCGAGGCTGGGACCAAACACTTGTCACACGTCTGTGGCTGCGTATGGTGAGTTGTTGTTTTCTAAGAATCCATGAAACAGAGAACGTGTGAATATATAGAGAAACAGACCTTAGAGAGGCTAGATATTACATGAGGAAAAGCATTGCATTCTTTGTAACATATTTATACAACAGTTACTATATATCCTGTAGTCCAATTTTTCCAAACTGCTATTGATAGATTGTATGGACATTTCAACTTTGTGTGGACTTGAAATTATATTTTTCACAGTATACAGAACTTGTCATAAGAACTTAGCCTCTACCAGGCACCGCGGATAGCTGAAGAAATAGTTGAAATTGGGACCCATACTATCCATTATTTCGGCCAATTTCTACTATATTTCCAGCGATCCGCGGTGCCTGGTAGAGGCTAATAAGAAATACATAATTATTTCAGTCATGGCAGGACGATTTCTTGCAATGGAACCCTGACGACCATGGCGGTATCGAGACCTTGGTCCTGCCGGTCAAGAAGGTGTGGACTCCGGATATATTCCTCTACAACAAGTAAGTCCATTATGTTGTTTTTCGTTTGTATTAAACTAGAAAACCTCTAAGTCCATTTGGTCTGGGTGCTTCTCGCACACGCTACCCCCGGAAAAATACGGATGGCTCCCAGACTAGAGTCAATGGTCCAGGGCCCCAAATTTCTCACATATTACCATCTGGGTGCCAATTGTTCCTGGTGATGTTTGAATTATGAATAGTACAAAGATGTGTGGTACATATTTTGTGATAGCCATTCTGGAGTGATAGCTTCGCAGCTACCAGTCTTCAAACTTATCACATTCGATTCTGTGAACCAGGCAGTTTTGCGCTTCATACCTAGACCCACTTAAAATAAACACTACTTGAAGTAAACACTTTAAACACTTAAAGTAAGGGAACTTCCAATATCTTAACATGTTCTCCGTCTAAATGCATGATCAGTGATGAAGAAATTGATTTGAAGAATTAAAAAAAAATGGTTCTCAAATAAAAACTTAGGCTTCTGTCCCTTGCCTGACAGTGTGGACGGAGAAGCAGGCGGCCTGGTGAAAGTGACAGACGTGGTGTTGAACAGCGACGGGACGGCGACGTGGAACCAGCCGGGCATCTTCCGGTCCGCCTGTCCGATGGACACCAGTCTCTTCCCTTTTGACGAACAGGTACGTCGGAATAAACCCGTCCATTTGAAAAGAATATATCAAATAATACAACAAGCCCAACGTGGCCCATGGTAGCCATATTTATGTTTACCGAAGGAATGCAAATTACATGTTGTTTTTGCTACGTTTCCTCTTCTTCTTCCGTTCCAAACACTAACCTCTGACCTGGCCAATGACCTGATTTGTTGACGTCTCTCACCATGGTAACTGGTGTTGGGTTACATCATGTTGCAATTTTATAGTAGGAGGGATTTATACTCCTGTCTGACCATATATATGAATGCATTTGCGAGACTGATTACAATCGGTGCATGAGTCAATAAAAGGACTACACTTACAAATTGCTATCGTTTTGTAAGCAACATATCAAGAGTTCTAATTCCACAATTATACTTAAAATGCTAAACGGACAATGTCGATTCAAATATTATTAATTGTACTAATATTTTGACGTCAATCAAAAATAGTGTTTTAGATGTTATGTTGTCTTACATTGAAATATATTAGGCAATTATTTAAATCTAAAAGAATCCCGCTGTCTTAATTTATCAGGTCTGTGAGCTGTATTTTGGCTCGTGGGTTCACCCGGTCACCCGACTCAATATAACAGCAACACCAACAGTGGACAGAGAACAGTACCAACAAAACGAACAGTTCATACTAGAAGAGCCAAGCGAGATCTACACTGAGGTATAACACTCTATATACAAAACCCACAGTTCATCAACTGATACTCTAACTGGTAAACGTATAACGTTACTTACCTTAGAAATAGACAAGTGCAGGTGCTCTTCAAAATAGGTATATCATCGCATTTACTGCACACTGAGTCTATCACTAACTTGTGCCATCCCCCTTCACAGTTTGCATGTGTTCTAATGTCAGGTTATTTTGAAAAAAAAGTGTCTTTATCTTAAGATATAGTCACTCCAATAATCATTACCGCGTTGATTGGATCCTGAAGATCGGTCTTGTTTGCAGTCATTTTTTACTTCGTTCCCCTAGACTGAGCAACTAAGGCTTGGTAAAATTGGGACTGCTAAGTTGTAGAAGTTTAACTTCATAAAACAAAATCATGTCCCCATCTTAAGACGACAAACAGATGCACCAAATGATATAGTCGGCTAATTAAGTTACCATTCATTGGTCCTGCAATTGATACTTTGGATAGCCCTTCTTGGACTGGTGTTATCATATTATTTCCACCCCTACATTAGGGAGGGAGGGGAGATATACCCATTATAGCATTTACAGTACTTAGATAATCTTATTGTCTTGATGTTTCTTTGCTTTTGATATCAATTTGATTGCAAATGGACTGATTTAATAAAATGAAGTTATAAATCACCATTTGTGATCGCAGATAAAACAATTCATTATAATTCTGAGGACTCAAGCCGATGAGACCACGTTGAAAAGAGTATTTCCACTGAGGTGGCAACTGTTTGGCCATTGAGGGCCAAAAATCTCATGAAGTAGTTTAAACGAATTTCATTGACAAAAGAGGTGTTTTTTTTTTTTTGCCTTTTAAATCGCACTTCTATGTTATAAATATCATATTCAGTATATAGACATACAAAGTGTAGTTTTGCTCGCTCAACTGTCTCTATCCAGTTAAAAAAAGTAATCTCCAAGAACATTTTTACTAGGTGGTTGCAATACAGTATCAAGTTGGTAAGACAGTATCAAATTGGCTGTATCCAGTACACTACATTTTGCTGGCGTAAAAAAAGATACAAGAAGAAGAAAAAAAAGTTCACCTATAAATCAAAAATGAGCAGAAGCCCAAACCTCTCATATTGTAGAGTATGATAAAGGGGCCCAGGGCCTAAAAGATTGTTCAGACTGTGTAGATGTATTTCCAAACTTCAATACACACCGAAGACTCTTTTTACACAACCAGAAGGTTTATTCAGACAACATTTCATTGACCGCCTGCCACCTCCCTCAGGGCAATTTTGACTGGTTCACATGATTGCACAGCAATATGCTGTTCAATCACTTACATACCTGATGAAACTAATCCTGGATTCAATCCACATCATTGTAGATAGAGAGCTACAAAGGGAACGTTAGTCACTCCAATGTGAAGGTTGTGCTCCACCTGCAGCGTCGCTGTGCCTACTACAAGTTCAACCTGATCCAGCCTTGGGTCATTCTCATGATCCTCAACATCGCAGCATTCTACATACCAGCGGACTGTGGAGGTAACAGGTCTCCCTCTGAGCTAAACACTTGTTTAGAGTCAAAACTTATTAGATCCAACACAAAAAGTTCTCTCACCTAGAGCTTTCGACCAGTCACTCCGGTCTTCCTCAGTAGACTGACCCAGTGAGTCTTGTCACGTGACTTCTTTGAAGTGTGACGTCAACACTGGGTCAAAGGTATCTGGTAGACGATGTCGGCCCCCGTCGTGGTTCAGTGAAGGGTGATGAGCCCTGATGTATATAGCCTCCTACATCGTCTACCAGACCCAGTGTTTAAGTCACACTCCATCCAGGAATAAGTTTTCCGCTGCCTGTGTACATTCGTGTTTTTGAGAATAAACATTCTGAAAGTCTATAAGAAATTCTACTAAGTGTATAAGTAATGGCATTTCTTTAGTCTTTCTTTCAATGACCACAGGTGTAACGTTACCTCCGATGTTACCCTTCCAGAACGGCTGGGATTCACCATCACCATCATGCTGTCACTGGTCCTGTTCCAGGAGGTGGTGGCCCAGCAGTTACCGCAGACCTCCACCACAAGACCGCTCATGTGTAAGCAAGTAATTGTTTTCAAAACAAGGCCACAAAACAATACTCTCCAAGCAGAGGTTGATGGTGGAAGATTGTTTGCACTTTTTTTTGTTGTTGCTACCACCACCAACTTCTGTGGGGAAATGCATACTGGATACCAATTGGAACACCCCCCAGATCTGCTTGGAGATTAAGAAAACAAGGCTCTTTGTTCTTGTGACCCTAGCTTTCCTTTCATATTTATACACAACCTGTAGCTATGTTGATAACTGCCAATGTATTGCCTGCATGCCACCCTGAAGTTGCATTGAATTTAATACCCAGATAATTTATATGTACATGTATGCTGTTACCTTACAGCTCGGTTCTTCGCAATGGCGACTGGACTGGTTGGCTTCACGATCATGGCCACCATCCTGATCACCCGCCTGACGTACTGCACCCTCCCGTCCCGCCTGCTGTGCCACCGCATCCGCCGCGTGCTGATCGATAAGGTAGCCCCTCGCCTGGGCATGGGCATCAGCCAACCACCCAAAAAACTCTCCATGTCTTTCTCAGACCCAAATTTTTGTAACGAAATGCCGAAATTGTCACGTAGTTGCAGCGTACGCGAAGTTAACACGGAGCATCTCATCAAAGACATTGCAGTTTTTTGCCGTGGTTTCACCCAATATCTGAAGGAAAAGAACGACCGAATGGATGAGTTAGACGAGTGTAAAATGGCAGCACTGGTCCTGGATCGTATTTTCATGATCATTGTTGCCACTCTGTCAATCGCTCAATGTTTCTACTTCTTGGCCATGGAGCCTAAATCCTGTTAGACCATTGCATATATTGTAACGCTGAGCAGTCGCAGTCTTTTGCCGTGGTTTCACTCAATATCTGAAGGAAAAGCATGAACGAGTGTAAAATGGCATCTCTGGTCTTGGATCGTATTTTCATGATCATTGTTGCCACTCTGTCGATTGCTCAATGTTTCTACATTTTGTACTTCTTGGCTATGGAGCCTAAATCATGTTAGACCATCACATATATATATATATTTCAACGTACACTGGTTATTATACCATAGATTTCAAACCTTTTGGCAAGTGCTTTGGAAAGAAAGCTTGTAGATCAAGTGCACAATGTGATGTACGAATATCATTAACATGGACAGACAAGAAATGTGCCTCAATGTGTTTGAACCGTCTGCTAAAGCTATAGGGATACGAGTCGTATCTAGAAGATTTTTGTACATATATACTGGTCAACAGACAAAAATGTTACATCTATGAGAAGTATGTAAGGAGCAGGATTTCTAGAATCAAGGACATTATAATGTCCTTGCTAGCATATTTCTAAACTATCTGATGAATCTGGGTCTGATTGACGACAGCAGGCGCAATAAATTTTGAAGAAAGGACCATTTAATTTCCCACTTCATGACAGCACTAGTACTTATAACATCATCAATTAATTCTCACACGCTGTACATGTGTAGTTGATGAAGTCATATGTGAGTAACACAAATTATGATTTTGTCTAATGCATATAGAGACAGTATACCATAATCAAGACGTATTTGGTTATAATAGAATGGTATACCAATACTTATCAATGTCCTTTGCTCAATGTCGCATATAAAATAAACAATGTGTATTAATACGAAGAGTTTGCCTCATAACTACAAGAAGAGTTTGATGTAGTTTGAATGTTTTGACCAGGTTGTCAGTACAGCCTACAATGGTATAAAGTTAGAACCAGGGACATGGTCAGGTTTTCACAGCTTCTCATTCAACTGTGTCTGTGAGTGGATAGTGGTTCCTTGTATACCTAAGTTTGGTGTAGAGTTAGGGCCTTTTTACAGCTGTGCAGTTGCTTTTGGCAAAGTTTAACATAGGGAAACTCACTGCATATTATCAAAGCTATTGCTACCACTACAGTTCTTTTGGACATGTTAAGTGCAGCGTATCATGGATTTCTGTGAATGATGGACTATCAACTTATCCATTACTGTAAAGGCCACTTCAAAAAGGTAATATTCTATAATACAGTGGAAGAAATGTCTGAGAAAACTAAGGTTTGATACAAATTTTGAATTTCAAGATTTTCACACACGTTTTCTTAGCATCCTTGAAAGTATGTAGACTAATAGTTAAATAGTCAGAATTTTACATATCTCAGAATTTGTATCTGTGAAAGGATACCAGTGTTGAGGGGTATAGTACCATGTAGCTGGCAACAACCCTGTTAGATGGGACCTGACCACATCCCTGTATGGAAACTACAGCTTGGAGAGGACTATTTGAATATGACTGTGTCTAACATGGCTCCTAAACACTGTACAATGTTTGATGTCATCAGGACATCCACATGCTCCTCCAAATGGCGCTTGGGGTCCTGAAAATAAAAGAGAACAGCACAAAATTAGACGTTTAGTGGTAGAACAGAACAAAATCTGCACCTGCTACTACTTGATAAAGGCTTGTATTCAATGCTTACATTATGTATTCAATACCATACATTATGCAAAAGTTTGACTGCAAGCAATCATGGAATTTGGACCTCAGCGTACAACAAAACAACTGTACTCACCAGTCTGCCTACATTCTTGATAGCAAGCTGTTCTGGGGTCATCTTGTCTTCTTCCTCCACAGCCTACAAACAGTTCAGTACACAGTTAGACTGGAGGACATTTGCACACAAAGCTTTGGACGAAATGTGTCTAGAAATGTCTGATGACATTTCACAAACTTTTTGCCCAAATTGGGATGTAAGGATATGGAAAGATCTGTCATTAAACTAACATCTAACTAACATCATGTCGGTTAAACTTGACATGATGTTACATCAAACAAAATTGAGATGACAGAGGAAATTTTCAGGGTGGCTAGAACACTGGTATTGAGTGAAAATTAATGACAATGAGGGTGGGTGACTGTTTGATGACCTCTCACCTTGTTGTAGTTCTTGGCCAGTTCCAACATCTCCTGAACCGTCTTCTCGTTCAAACTACAGTGGTCAGAGTAGTCCTGAAGGGTCAGACCTTCCATCCAGGACTTCTTGTGTAGGTTCAGCAACATCTGCACCAAACACAGCCAAAACAAACCTATGAGCAACAGCAGCTGGAATTCAAACTCCCAAAGTCTTTGTTCAGAGGAAGTAACACTAACTACTGGACTACGCACACTACAGATACATACCTTTTGCTCCAGTTCATTTTTGCGGTAGTTGATGGAAATGGAGTAGTAGTGTCTGTTCAATCCATGGATGAGAGCCTAGGAGAGGACAACAAATTCAGATTGAAATACAAACTACTCCATACAATCAAATCAAATCAAATAGATAAAATGTTCTTGGAAGTACATGTATGCTTAAGGCAAGGATGAGCAAAATTTTTGTCCTTCATGGTTAGCAAATGACTGAAAGACAGGCAGTGGCTAGAACCCTGGCCTGTCCCCCTCCTGACCTGTATAGAAGGTTTCTGCAGATGTCCCAGGTTGGAGGTGGTCTGTCGAGGCTCCTGTCCCAACACCATCATGTTGGGGTTGATCAGTCGGAACGCATCAATCACAACCTGAAAATGCAAACAAAACTTGGCAATTGTTTTCTAATCTAAGTTTCAGTGTGCATATCTGGTCTAAGTAAGGTTTCTGTATTGAGGGAAGTGAGTCCTATTCTGGTATGCTTAGCTAGCTGACATTGCACTGTCTGCTGTCGATAAAGCATTACATTTTACATTGTAACTCTTTACAGGATAACTTACTTTACATTTACCATGCATGAAAAATACACGTGTATGATACCTAACTGAGAATTAATTCTCCACACAAAATAAGCTGCCATCAGTGCCCACCTTTCCTTTGACACTCTGGATGGGATCCACTACCACAGCCACGGCTCGCTCCGACAGCGCCTCAAAACTCTGCTGTGTGTTAATGTCGACGCCCGACAACCAGCAGCCAAACCCAGGGTGGGAGTGGTACCACCCGACAACCATCTCAGGCCTGGGGAGGACAACAGACACACTGGGCTATAAACTTCACATAATGGTACTGAAGTTTGACAATGATTTTCAAACACTAAGAGGGGATAGTGCTGTCATGGCATCCACCGTCTTTCTTCAGCTACTGACGAGAGTTTGATACCTAGCTAACAGTACCCGACAGTCTGGCACATCTGACAGCTTCAACACTTTTAGTAAGTCGTGTGTATCTGTAAATAAATCCTGCTTGTTATTATGTGAGGTACTCCACTCACCTTCCTGTCTGCTTTAACATGTCCAACATCTTAGCCTGGAACACTGGATCCACAGCCTCCACACTCACTCCCTGTACACAACAGTTATTGTCAACAAGTTAATCTTTACCACAAGTAGCCATTTGGCTACCAAATTTTCAAATGTGAGTCAGATACAAATTTGCCCTCAAGTCGATGGGGTTTTCTTTGAGTTTGAGAGAAAAATCTGTGAGTGAAAATATGCAAAAAAGCCAATTGCCGAGGAATTTAAAAACGTCTTGCTGTTTTAGATAAAAAGTCATACAATAGAATCATATTGTTGCAATATATTATCATATTGTTTTATTCAAAGATGAAAGCAGTATAGTGTCTAATCTATACATTAAGAAGACAAGCTAACCGTCCCAGACTGTGGCATGGCGAAGACATCGATGACGCGGACTGTGTAGTCATCCACAAACTCTCCCAGCATCAGCCCCATCACCTCCATAGGTACACCTGCACGGCCATGCTTCAACATCTGTGGGCAGGAAACATCAAACAACATTTAAATCCTTATCTATGAAACTGGTCCAAAAAATGGAAAGAAACCTACAGTGGGTGTCACTGGAAGACAGACAATAAAAGACAGACAAACCTTGAGCAGGGCCAGTGATGAGATGTAGACCTGTTCTGCTGTGTCTACTGCTGGGGCATCGCTCGGAGGTGTGCCCTGGAGTGGGGAGGGAAAAAAATCAACTTTCTCACTGGAAATGTTACAATCTTGCATCAGAACATCTGCTTTGAGATGTAAGGGTAGGTGGTGGTACTAACTTTGTTCTTAAACAATCACATATGGTATTGGGCAAGCTATCTGAACAGTTTTCCTTGTAGCATATTGCCTATTGAATACATGCATTTTTCAAACAACTGCATGCAAAGAGATCCATGCAAAGAGAGTTTACTAGATAAATGAAAAAGTGCAGTGCAATGATGAAAGAAGGAAAAATACTGCCTATCCAGGCTAGTTGGTACTCACCCCACCCATGCCAGGAATGGCTCCACCAAGGCGTAGAAGACGGTCCATACTCAGGCAAAATGTTTACCAGAACTAGTAAGAGAAAACATGATAATCTGTTGATAAAGAAACGTCTAAACTGGACAAATTGACAGTTAACAACGGATTTAAAAGGGCTCAACCGGTCAAACAACAACAAATGATTCACGAAATGGTATGGGTGTAAAAACACTTTGCTATTTTTAATAATTTTCCTCAATATGATCTCACTAGAGCAGGAAAATTAGTGCCATCGATAGACAAAAGTCGTAGGTGCAAGTCATCTTCTTCGATCGCCCCCCTCCCACCATCCCAAACTTCAATACCTTAAATTCAAACAATAAAAGCGTACAAACCTTCAAACTGTTGTCACTGACTTGAACCAGCGTTAGACACACCGATCAACGTTAACTCAAACTGACTTTTCCTTTTCTATCAGTTTTTAACGATGATATTTTGAGAATCTTAGTTTCTGATTCTCCGTTTCCCACACTTGCCCCGTTGCACACTGGTACATGTCAAGGGTCGTATGAGGGCCTCCAAATGCAACAAAAGAAATAACCTCACACATGATCTCATATCTGGAACAAAGTTTAGTCCAATTTTATCATTCAGTAAAAAGTTATAAAACAGGAAAATTAGGTTGTTTGTATATTAAGCCTGTTTATGACAGTTTTTGTGTAAGATTGGGGTGATTATTTGCGTTTTCTTGATTTGAGGGTCAAACGAGGTCAGAAAAGGGACGTGCGATTTACACAACATCACATCGAGCAGAAATTTTCATTTCTTTTGTACCTTCTTTACTTTACCGCAAGCTGTTCCAATCGTGTTGAGGTCTAGAGGAGATACCCGTGTTCATCTTTAAGAGAAACACATTTTTGGCCGATCTACAAGTGAATGCGAAACAGACGAACGAGGGCTACAACAAAACAACATGGCCAGTGAAACAGTTAGTAAAGGTAAATATACTACACTGTACTAGTAGTAGTAGTCAGTCACCGGGGCTTCCAGAAAGCTACAGTGTACTACAAAAAGATTTAAATTTGTTTCGTGTTAAGTTTCAATGGTAACAAAACAATTATGCATGATACAGTGTACTTTAGGCAATATGTTTTCCCTGGTGAAATAAATAAACAATATCAACATGATGGAGCAAATGGATCAGTTTATAATATTTTACACCTGTCCAGTAAATTGTTATTGTCAGTGATTTTATGACATTTTTTTATTCCCGTTATTGTAGAGTTGGTAGATCCGCCACTGAGACATGTGGAAACTGATGTCCTCATCCCAAAGATGATGAGAGCAAAGGCCAAGGAGAGATGTCACCAGGAGGTCAAGGGTATGTATGTTCAGGGCAGTACAAATGTATATTATAATCAAGTTATTATATATTATGAATAGTATCTTGCAGGGCTCGAACATTGAAAATATCCTGCACCAGACAAATTTTACCTGCATTACTCAGACTTTGAGAATTAAGGATCTTACTAAAACTGTTCAGATATAACACATAACCATTGCCATTAGTATTTCTTATACTACATACATGTAGGTGGTGACAGTCAATGCAGCAAATAAAAATCCACTGTACAGTGTGCTTAAAGATATTTTTTACTGCAACATACTTTTGGTATGCACTCCTGCACACCTCAAATGTACATACCTAGGGTGTGTTGCAGTAGAAATATCTTTAAGCACACTATTTCTCAAGGGGTGATATTATGGACCCTGATGATATTATGGACACAGATGTTATACATGCCAACTACAGGTTGAGATGTATGATCTGATATTTGTGTACAGAGTTTACAGATTGCTGTAAGGACAGTGGCCTGGGTATGGTGGTGAAGTGTAGACAACAGAACACCCAACTCAGGGCCTGCCTCACCAAATAGTAAGTCTTCTATGTAATTTTACCATGGCTTTTACTATATGTGATTCATTATTATGGACTTGCATTCTCCTTAGTGTGTTAAATTGCAAGCGATGTAAAATTGTATCTTCCAGCTCTATGAGACATTTTTGTTTGAATTGTAGGGGGTATTATGAGTCCCTATTGCATACATATGAACTAGTTTTCATGTCCAGTTCTTGAGATTAATTTACAGCTACACTCTGTATGTACCAGTACTCAAGTTAAGGTTGAAGTTCTAGGTGTTGAACTAACATATTAGTGTCATATTGATGGTTTGGATGACATGTTTTCACCCAATTTGTCCCCACAGTTACAAGGACCCAGAGTTCTATGAGATGTGTAAGCAGGAGTACCTTCAGCAGAAGAGGGAATTCGTGGAAACAGGAGTCCGCAAGTCCAGCAAAACATCATCCAAACTGCCTACAACTATGTAGTACAGGATAGGGGTACTTAACTATGTAACAAGCAGGATGAAAGAATTAAGTATGAAGAGAAGTCTTGTGTAAATGCTTCTGAGAGGGATTTTTGTCATGTACATCATGAAAAACTGCAACATTTAACGCTTGTGGTTTTCATTTTGTAGAAATTTAGAATTGGCAAGTTCTTGTTGGTTATTACTGGTAATCGAAACAAAGAGTATGTTTGCCTTGAAGTTGTCATAAGAAAAATTTTCTGAAAGACAACCACCCGAGTTAATTATTAAGCACTGTCTGATGATGTGAACATGCCAATAGCCTTGAAAATGAATTTAGAATATTGTTGTTTGTTAATACCTAGCTCTTTTCATGATTCAAATGTTAGTTACTTTGAAGTCAATCTGTGATCCAATAGATGTTTATCCAAAATGAAGTACTTGCACTACCTTGTGCATTAAAGATATGATCAGCCTACCTTCATGTACTCATGTACTTGCATATGCAGGTTGTATTTAAACCCTGAAGTATATCTTTCACCCATATTATACATTGTATAGTGCATTTAGTGAGTTGTAGAATTAGGCCAAAATTGTAGTAATGACAGAATAAAACTACTGACAGTAGACAAGGACCACACAGTAAACGAAATACTCTAAAATGGTTTATTTCTTACTTTTAACATCCTATTTAATGTACATTGTACATAAACATACTATTCATACTCTATTTTACAACTTTACCGTTACAAAATACCTTATCACAATAATCAACTTCTTATTATATATTAATCTTACTTCTAAAACTTTGGTGGCCCCAGGTTTCATACAAATGTGGACAACTTGACAAAAATACTCAAGCATCTGGGAAGAGAATAGAAAGAGGGAGGGAAAGAGGTGAGAAAAAGAATTTTTTGGAAGGAGAACAAAATTTATACAAAACTTGCAGACCAGCTGAGTTTATACGGTTGCAACAAGCTGCAACAACCAACATACAAAAATAGAGGCGATCCTCCGCAGCTTTCTGCCGGAATCCCCTTTAGTTAATCTTGATCACAAGTACGGCAGAGGAGCTTTAATATGTCCAACATTCAACAACTGCATCGTGTTTCTATCAAGTCGAACATCATTTTCCTCAGACAAGCGACAGACCTTATTGCTTGTTGAACATGCTAGCAAAGCCCACTGCGATCATGCTCAAGACTGGCCAATCACACAAAACTTGGTCCCATAGTCAGTCACAAAGCAACCCATGCATACATACATACACACGCATGCACACACACTCGTACACACACACACACACATGGAAGACTGAAGTGGATTTGGTGGGTCAGGATTGCTATGTCCCAGTCACATGAAGCTGCTGCAGGGACTGCTACCAAAACCATCAATTTCGTATCGCACTTCAGGAACTCCAAAACACATCCCGCCCGTTCACATAGGTTCTCATGGTCTGCATTATCCACTGGTTTATCGTGCATTGTGTCAGTTCCTCAGATTTTACATTTCCAGTTTTCATCTCTGCAGTGGGTAGGACAGTCCATAAGACATCATTTCCCTTCATGCTAGGTTTAAGGACAGGCTATGACTTCAGGTGAGTCTTCCGTCCGTACAGACTGTATTCATGCGTCACAAATAACATGCACAGGATACAAAACAATTTGTCCATGTCAGAGCTAAAAGTTACTGAGCTCTACGTACCAGACTTGTGGATTAGTGTTAGTCATGGATTAGTACTGATCCTGCTATAATGAAAAGTTCCCATGGTCCAAAGATGCTATATGAGAAATGTTCCCTTTCGATTTTGTATGAAATAATGAACAAATCCTTGCACAAGAACTAATGTGGAGTGGGTACAAGCTAGGAAGCAGCTCCTGTGAGCCTCAGTTTTCATTCATTCTGAGAGGAATGTTAGAACTGGCTGGCTGTCAAATGAAAACATTTTCCAGCTGACTTAATGTGGGGAAACTGGAGAGGTTAACACTGCTAAAATGTCAGACAATTATACTACTCCAGTGGTCAGTTCTGATACTAATTTTTTTTTTCACATGCAGCTTTAGTACCCTGAACTACAAACTATACATTTTTGGGCATCTGGGACAGGCCATAGGCCCTGCAGCAGATCCATTCTGACAACAGCTACAGTAACACACTACTGACTTCAAGCCTAACATCCTAAGACAGCGAACATGCCAGCTTGGAAAATTTCAAGGTGGGACCAACGAGGTAGCAAGCAGAGGCAGGCTCCTGGAAACATTAAGTACACGTCTAACCGTACATACCATTGCACATTAACACGTTGGTTTGAAGTACACTGCCATGCATGAAGAATGTGTCAGAAAAAAAATCATAAATCAACTTCTCATTGCATCTGGGAATGACAGAAATTAGTGGCAAGACAAACTCTTCAACAAGTTCATATCCTTTGCACTGGATGTCATCACTATGCACTTTTGCCCAAGACTTGCCTGTTAGGGAGTGGTCAGTGAAAAGCATATGTTAGTTGTTGCTGATCCACAATCCTTATCCTTGTTAGTGATTAAACATATGCGAAAAAAACATCTCGAAAACAGACATACAGTTAGTAAAAGAGGCCTACTAAAAGCACTGTTGCCTCAGTGGACAGTTTTGTTCCTTTTTTTTCCTTAAACGCAAATGGAGAATTACTATGGATACCATATGTGATAGTGAGACGACATTGCCGGTAGCACCAATGTTTTTTTTCTTACATGTTCAGTGGTTAAACACCTAAACTTCTGTATGCAGCATTTTACATTGCACACAGTACACAACCATGGAGTAGGTACACTCCATGGAGACAAACACACCGGTATAGCCAGGATTTCAACAGGAAGGGCCACGGAATAGAAAAGGTGGGATCACTGTGACCAAGAACACATACTACAGTACAGGACTGTCAGAGGGACAGTAGGAAGGGTGACATGCCCTGGCTACACCAGCGATATGCAACAAAACAAAGAGACAAGTGTGTAGCGTGCACGAAGGCAGGCAGACAACGTCTTTGAGACACGAAAGAGGAGGAAAAAACACAAGAAAGTTGAAGTGTACAACTAAAAAAAAACATATGGGAGATGCTTTCCGATGAGGCTTGGAAATGAGTGAGTGAATGAATGAATGAATGAATGGATGGATGCCAAAGCACTATGATTAAGGACCACCATTACAAGGAGTCCCCCCAGGTCTTAACTCCCAACCCTGATGTACCCAACTTAACAGACTTAAGTGTAGCTTACCTTACCATCTCAGCATTACACTGACTTACCCTATCCTGGCCATAATGGCTCAACCTCCCCTAGTTCTTATCTTACCTCCCAAAACTATGTCTTAGCTTAACGTACCAATGGACTTACAGGTTGTCCATACTTAAGCTATCCACTTACAAGTCACTGGTTTTACTGTGCATGCTGTTGTAGTAGTATTAGCTATACCAACACACAAAGTTATGGGCCAAGTTATGCCTTGGCTGGTACTGTAATACTTTCCACTGTACTGGGGGTATCAATGTACATACACATCCATGCACAGAGGTACCTTATTCTAATACACAATATTAAGACTATCCTGCATATCCAGTTAAAAGTACTTCAGCATAAAGTTGTGCAATACCATATACTCATTTATCGTAAGCCTATGGACACCACTTGCTTAGAGTAGAGAATTGATACCGCTATCCAGGTAAGCTGGAATTCTTTGATTAGAACTGAAAGTCTTCTTCTGGTCCAAAAAAATCTTACACAAATGAAAAGTATTTGTATTTATCCTACCATTATTCTACCGAGCATTAACGGAAAAGCCAGTAAAAATAAGAGCCTGGTTATCTAATAAGCCTGAGGACTAATTCAGATTCCAACCTGCTCTTTTTTTTCTCCTTGCTTTTCGTACTATCATAATAGATTACCTACACTTAAAAATGCCATTATGGCACCTGTGTTCAGATGAAAGCCCTTACTGTACTGCCTATCAGCCAAAGAGAAATATCTTACTGTTCATTTATTAAGTTAAACTTACTTAAAGAATGGACTTACAATACTTCACATTACTTATAGCTTAGACTTGTATGTTTGCTAATTAAAAAATACTTTTCATTTGGGAACATGCACGCGTTATTCTGGACCAGAAGAAGACTCTCACATTATGCTAATTTTAAGATTAGAAAGATACGAAGGTGCAGTTTAATACACATGAAGTGTCAAAAATCTGCAACCTCCAATATAGATGTCTGCCATACAAATAAGATTCAACCTCAATGGATATCTCTCTCAGCCATCCAGCCTACAAAACAGTTCATATCAAAACTTGGGTACCTCTTTTTCATTCTGTGTGACTCAAAAAGTGTCAATAGAAGAATAGTACAAGAGAAACAGGTGTACTTTTGAAAGATCAGTTGCAGTTTTGGATGGAAAAGTTTAGGCCTAGGAGCATGGTTGTTCCATAGCCACACTGAAATCAGAAAGGTTTAAGTGCCATACAACTTTGGTGTAGTAGATAGAATAAAAAGGATATGAAAATTAAGTACTGCTGGTGGGTAAGCTTTTTCATAGTCGATGGTATAATTGGTAGATGTACAGTATAAAACATGGAAGTGGTGAAGTAGAGTCTGGCCCAAACTTTGCCATGCTTATTTCGAACTGTCAAAAAGTACACATGTTCCCCAGCTTTATAAGAGCCACTGCTCTTTTTGTTACATGGCAACTTCTGCGCATGGACCTAAGTCCTCCTTTTCTCCTGTGTTCTCAATACCAATCTTGCTACACATTCCTACATGGTAAGTGTTTTATCCCGCATACACACACACACCATCCTGTCAATCCCCCATTGGTGAGCAGGATCTGACTTGTATGGCATGTTTAAGTTGAACAGATGTAGTCCCATGGCTCAGGGTTAGCCACATCGTAAGCCTGCTCCTTTCTCACACTTAAGACTGCTGTCTTCCTTCTGTACCTGAAACAACAGTGAAGAAAAAAAAAATCTTTCAGCACAGAGGTGATCAAAATAGTTTACCGTATGAGAAATATAGAATACAGATACAGGCTTATTAGCCACCTTTGGGATTGTGTACTCGCTGCAAAAGCGTCAGCTACATTGGCTACATACATGTATAACAGCGAGAAGCAGAACTCCAGTCAGAAACTCTGAGGAAGGTGTCTGACAGGCATCGAAACATACCGGTAAGCAGGTGAGAGTCTAAACCTTTGTGTAAAAAAGAAACCCCCAAATCCTATGTTTTTTACCAACCAGATGAAATTATTTTCTGACCTTGTTGAGCTGCTGGTGACTCCTATACTCCATACTGGGTGGACAGCCTCTCCTTCAGGGGCAGGGGAAACTGGTCTGAGAAGCGCCGCCAGTTCTCTTCACCAACCTGGTTCTTGAACCCGTGCAAGATCTGTACAACAGTATGTATGGTTTACAGTTAAAGAACCATGGTCTCATGCTAAATGCCTATGAACAATAGTCACTTTATCTCACTGATTCTAGCAATCCACATCTACCAGATTACCAGATAAATTAGAAGAAAATTGAATACTTTCTGCTGACCAACATGTGGATATTAGGCCAGACTACAAATTGTAAATAGAGCCAGTCGAACTGTATGAAAGTTCCTAATTTTTACCTACCCGGAAGAACATTTCTTTCAGGTCTTCTTTAGGATTTACCCAGGAGGCGACTGCATCACAGAAGAATATGAAATCCTGCAACAAAATAAAAGGTATTAATATTAGCTGACAGTTTTCTTTTCAGTTTTACTGTAGTAAGTTGAATCAATGCTATCCCATAGCATACCGATACCTATGAGGCAAAAATGTGATCGTGTGTAGCTGATGGAAAACGGTTGCTTGTTTTGTACTGTAGGCTGGTTCTAGCTATTTATTGGTGGTACAGAAAAAAACTTGTTTTAGGGCTATTTCAAACGCTTCAAATGTACATGTCACAAAGATGATGAAAATGTGCTTATAAATGCCAGTAAATGTCAATATCAAACAGATTTCATCATCCAAAATATGAAAAACACAATGTAGAAACAGCGAGCACTACAAGATGACGTGATTAATGGCTTTCTTCCTCAGAAAGACTGAACCAACCATATCCATTACAACCTGACCTACATGTAAGGGCCATGTGGAAACAAAGACACACACACACACACCTACCAAAAACAATACCTCCATTTTTCATAGAGGTAATACTGGTAAGCAAATTAGAATCTAAGGTAAAACACTGACCTGCACCACCCCACCAGGGTTGACATGGATCATACTACAGATTCCACGGAATGCTGAATCCTTCTCCTCGTTGTCACGAATGTTCCGTAGTGACGTGCACCTACGAGGTCAACCAATTAAACAGGGCTAACATTCCCACATATCACAACCATACGCCACAAAAGTTAGAACGTTTCAAAGTTACAACTGCGATAAATAAAGCAAATAACAGTTACGTAGTTAACAAGAGCGCAATGTTGGCACTGCCTCTATGCCTTCTTGCCTCTCATAATAGAAAGAATATCAACAGTTTTGTGATGTGTAGAGCTATCTTTAAAACTCACTGATACAAGAAAATTTAAGGAAAAATTTCACAGTGGAAATCAGAAATGGTATTTTTTATTGATCTACCACAGTTGCGGAAAAAAGTCCCTTCTTATACGTAAAACAAAAAGCAATAAAAATAATACTTATTTGTGTGTTGGCAGTTTTTTTTAAAAGGGTGGTTCACTTTGCTTTGTTGAACAAAAATGTTGCAAAGTAACATTTAACAACTAAAGAAACAAAACAAAACAAAAAACAGAGACATACACTTGTCTTACATTTTGCCTTCCATAACTTCCTTTGAATTACATATTTGTACTAGAGGCTACTGTGGTATCACATCTGTTCCTTTGAGAGTATAGAATGACACAGCCAACATTAGGCAGGCTACCAGAACATTGTCATTCCGCTGTTAAAAGCACAGAGGCAGTATAAGATGAAAAGACCATTGAAATTTATGTCAAAGTGGAGTCATGCACCACCATGTCTCTGTGAAGTCCACACTTCACACAGGTCTCACATGCAATATAGGAAATAGGATCTCAGCTTTGACAGAGGCAAGCAACATGCAAAACATGTTAGTAAAGAGAACTAGTTACACAACTGCAGATAGATGAAAATAGTGTCGACTTGTATAAAGATCAAAGTACATCAGGGTTCGCACACCAGTGGGGAAGGGATAGTTTTAAAATATTTTTTAAGTCTTCCTTCGCAGGAAGTTTTTAAAATTCCTTTTGAACCTAAACTTCAAGACCAACAAAAGCATTCTTTCGGAAATGTCTTTTCAGATACTACATAGAAACCAAACAATATCTGATCCAAACAATACAACACACAGATGCAGTTACATGAATGGGGATTTGAACGATACATTGGTGTTATTGTGCTATGGTTTTCAGAACCACAATTTTTTTATATGCAAATAAGGACAATTTGGAGTCACGAGTATGCAAATTAGGTAACAACATGATTTCTACAACAGGCACTGATGGGACAGTGCGACATTTAAAGCCCTACATACAAAGAACACTTGATGGTAAGAGTATGGGACAAGGTGCAACGCCTTTTTGGAGAATTAGTTGACATTTTGATTCACAAAAGGAAATGCATTAATGAGTCTTTCTCTAGAATCACACAAGGCCCACGAACCCTGACAGTGTGTGTGAGTGTGAAATGATTGAGAAATGATAAGGAAACATATACACACCACGGTCTTATAAACTGCTGTAACATAGGGGCCACTTCTTGCGGACATACGTAACCAAGACGGCCAATTGTTATGGCTAGTATGGTAACACATCAAACCACGGCCACAATGTGCAAATCATGGGAGAAATCAAGAGAGAAAAATCAACATAAATAAGGAACTCAAACATCATCATAAATGCCTTAATTCACAGTATAACTACTACAGTCTTACTGTTCAATAGGTATACGTTCATATGTTCAGTGTTAGAGATCTGAACACAGACAGCATAGGGTAGGAAAATTACCTCACTGTCATAAGAGATAACTACAATATTTGTTTTTGAATACACTTGTACATGGTGCAAGCAGGGTTTCATAGCAGCAGAGATATGGGGCTCGATAAAGACACTATTTGTACTTCCTAACCATCTACATCACAGCTTGACATCTGAGTTACTGTTCTGCATTTACTTGCTGCATTCGGTCTAAATGTGGGAAAGTTGATGAACATTGACATAGTTTTCATTGTCATTTCATCATAAGCTCTCCTTACCCCACTAGCAAAATACTATGAACCTCTCTTGAAGTGATTTAAATAATTATGTTTTAAGTATGTTTTCTATTCTTATAGCAATTTTGTTTCTGCAAAAACTGGGGTTAAAATCCCTCTAAAGCTTTTGGTGCTACCAGAACTGTCTATGCTACTTGCACCATGTACATGTACAAGTAAAGACACACAGAGATGGAACTGTGTATTCTACATGTATTCTAGAGACACCTACGATAAACTACAATACATAACTACAGTTGAGATCAAGGCCAAAACACAGTGCACACATACATGTAGACTAGGAACAAGGCATTGTTTACGTTATGCATTGTGCAACAATGGATTCATCCTATTATTAACTTGCCAGAGGTTTCTACGCACTTTGTAATACATGTAGCTGTTTTAGAACTGACATGTTTTGCTTTAACAGAAACTTATACTAAAACTATCATTATCAAGAGTGCATATAAAGCAGTACATGTTTTACATAATACAAAGATGATACAGAATATGTATACGGTGCAGATATTATAATCCAGTGGTAATAATAACAAGAACACAATTCTATCATGTCTATATAAGCATTGATAGAAACACAATAATTTGAAGGAACTAAATATCTGATTGAAAAGACCATTGCATAAAATACATTGTCAAAGTACAGGCTTAAAAAAACACCACACAACTTCACTGTTTCATCGCAGTTTTGAAACACTACTCTTCAGTTTTAGGCCGATAAATGACAAAAAGAGAAGCATACCACCTTACCTGTGTTTTCTAGCAAGGTCTTGGGGGTTCCTGGACGGTTGATTATATCAACTAATTGGTTCAATACTAATGCAACATATGGTTGCATATCCGCACCTACACAGAGAGAACAATATTAGGACCGGAGGAGGGAAATATTTAAAGCACATGTGAACTACAAATTCAAAGAAGCATCGAACCTGTTTTATACAATTTTTCACCTCAAATGACCTACTAGAATCATCGTAGAACAACATGATACATGATATTCATCTGGAGTCACAAAATAATCATACAGAAGAACACAACACCAGTGCAGAGTTGAATACCTGTAGACATGTCTCCTTTTACCTCAGAAATGAAAGTACATGTCATTGGATAACACCATAAACAATGATACAAATCCTATAGTGCAGTTTTGACCTTGTTGTTAACCTTGCATCACTAGGTAAATTGTCCTATGGTTTACTTTCCTTTTTCTAAA